CTAAAAGGCCTATCCTGTGTTGATATATGCATAGGAAGAAACGTGACCACTGAAGTAAAACCACTGCCAAGAAAAGCAGGAGTATTTTGTTGGTGTGTTTTAGTCTACATTTAATTATTTGTCTTTTTCCAAGCTAGTTTTACCTTAAAAAGTCTTTAAGGTGTCACACATGAACTATGTATGCTGGACTGCAGTATGGATGCAATTCATCTTGCCCAATCATGCTCTACAAAAGGGCTTTTATAAAGCAGCAAGAAACTGAGATTTTATTCATACAAACTTACAAAACTTCACCGTCATTAACTTCATTAAGTATACGAGGCTGTCAGGATAAAATAGCCAACATTTATTGTTAGAAAACTTACCAAAATGGAAAAGATTCTTAAAAATGTTTCATAATTTATTACTGGGCATCTGCGTTAGTTTAGTTTTGAGTTAGGTAGGAAACAATTCACCATTCAGTGAAAATTCCAATTGCTTACATTACTGGAGCTTTTGAGCAAAATGCTATGAGAAGACGGGATCAAAAACCAGTTCTATTCACTTGAACAGGAAGGAAGTGCAAAAATCTAGTCCTGAATTACTGAAGTTCAAGGAAATCTGATAGTCTTGTTTCAAGCATGTCTAATGCTTAACCTGCAAATGAACATAGAAGTGAGGGATAAGACAAGCCTCAATAGGGCTCCGAACAGTAAGAAATGGAAAGCTTCATTTATAAACTGCTCCAAAGGACCAAACTTAGAACAAAAACTATGTTATATTGGCATTCCTGAAGTTATAAACATCTTTGCTGTTTTACAATGTGCTTTTTTACTTTCTTTGTCTTATCTGTCTTACAGCTCTTGATCCAAGTCCACTACAACCACAGCTGTTGAAGCATCTCCACTGCTTTAGCAGCTGACACTTCATGCTGATAATTACTCGACATACTTGAGAGCAGTGCTTCTGCAAGAAAAACTAAAGGAAAGCAAAACAACCTCCAGAAGTAATTCCTGAAAAGACTAGATGAAAAATAAAAGTATTTCATATACAAAGTCTTACATGAAAAAACAGCAAGCATTCAGAAATTGAAACTGATGAATTCTCAAGCAACAGTCCCTTACACATTCAAAAAGCGGTTTTCCTTGGAGGGAAGTGGGCAAGGACATCCAGAATTCTCAATTCCCTCTTTAAACTATCAGTAAGAAGATCTGTAAATTTTAGGCTGATATTGCAGCTAGTGTTTCACTAAGTACAATACCCACCTGACACTATTTCAGTTTTACTACAGAAGTAAATCCATGCATACAAAACTAGGACTCATACATATTTTGTTGTCTTAGACACATAGAAAATAGTTTAATACACTAAATCCAAAGCACTAAGTTGGTGACACAAATAAAAGCAGGTCTTGGAACTGGAATTATTTTGTAAAATGGCTCTGATTGAGATTCAATAATGTAAATCCAAGCAAGCCATCCCTAACTGGATAATAACCATTGCATGCTTGAGTAATTAGTGTGTTACTGGCACTCAGAAGGATTTTCTTTTTAAAAAATATTTTTGTGTTGCAAAATAAATCACCATCAGCCAGCTCCTCTTTCAGCCAGAATAATGTAAAATAAAAATTAGCAAAATACTACTGGAAAACTAGTTTCCCAATAAAGCTACTGTGAAATCAGAATGCATGTAAAGTATTGAGCTATAAGAGAACACTTCAACTAACTGACTTTTAAAAAGGAAGGGAAAAACCCTAACCAATACGAAAGTGTTTATTAATAATTTATCTAGTGGAGGTCACATAACTAGATTAATAAATTGTTTAGGCATCATCAGGCTGCCCATTAGATTAACAATCAATGCAATCAAATTTCTAATGTTCATCATCACCATCAACAACAAGAATGCTTCAGGAAAAGAAATCCTCTCACAGAAAATATTTCTATCATCATTAACAAAATCAAGTAACCGCTAGCTGCATTAGACTTGACTACAAGATATTTTTCTAAAGTAGTTCTGTTTTTTAAAAAATTCAAGTTTAATGAGTTAGGGGAAAGACACAGATAGAAAAGTTCAACAGGAAAGCCTAATACTGCAGCCTTACATGAGAGGGTCCAATTCTGGTTGCCATTGCACTTACCATTATCTTCCTGTTTTAGACTGACCAGTAAAAAGTGATATGGTATAAGTGAAGGAAGCTTACTTTTCAAAGCTTTTAAGAAACAAAAAGAAGGATTAGAAACAATTATTATTGCCCTACTAAATACATTGTTGGCAGAAGGCTGTAATATGTTGCAAGTATAATGCCAGTAGTTTATCAAGACTTGATAAGGTAAAAAACTATCCAACAGTATCAAAAAAATTAAATTCTCACCAAGAGGCAACTTTTAACCTCTGAAAATAGAGAATAACTTTCTCAGTACTTGTACAACGGTGATCTGAGAGTAGAAGTAAGTGCAAGATGGAATCTGTTCACAGTAAATAAGTATTAGTAAGAACAAATAAAAGCAAGTTATTTGTATAAGAAATTCTAAGTTGAAATCAGATTTCATGTGTCATTTTCCAATCTCTAGAAAAGATTTACAGTTTTTCTCTGCTGCAAAATGCAAAGGCTTTTTCAATTCCCATTCACACTACATAACTAGTTATCTAAAAACATTTTATAACAAGCATCTATAAAATGATAGGCATGCTTAGACACACAGCTGCCCTGATTAGAAACTGTTGCTAAAGAAAGCAAACACGTCACTTGCCACTTCGTGTCAATTTTTCCTCTTTTAAAGTTGAAGTAAAACCAAAGTCAAGACATAACCAGAATACTAAAGACTAGTCCAGAGAACACACTTTTTTAATGTATTATTGTATATGCCACTGCAATTTCATACAATGTTTAAAAAACACCACCTGTACTCTACAGTCCTTTATATATAAGTTAAAACGTTTTTGGTAGGGCTGTTACTGCAAAACTACATCTGTATCTTCTTGCAGTGCGTTAAGTCCAGATGAGCACACAATTTCAGAAATGCATGAGAGGAGGAAAGCTACACCCTTGCAAAGCAGACTTCCACCCTTAACCCTTCCACTCCAAAAATTTGATGTATAAAAGTCATAACAATTATGCACAGTGATTTCCATTTGCGCTTTCCATTTGAACCACTCTTCTTCCTCTCTAATCTTACATTCTTGCCAAGTCCTGCACACCAACTTTAACAGTTTCTATTCATATGTGGTTTGGAATTTAAAAATGTAGATAAGCAACATGGATGGAGAAACTGTGGTTATTGATTTAAGCACAGAGACTAAATACTATAATATCAAGACATATGCAAGATTAAACCAATAAACGTTGCAGCGGCCTTTACCATTACCTAGTTTTCCCCACTCCAAGCTGCAGAATACAGGCCACAACCTCCTAACAGCAATGGAATGTGAGGGAGCTACTGCCATGCCAGGGCTGTGGGTTGGTTCCCCAGCTTCCTATTACTACAGCTCTTTGCAGCAAGAAGCACAGGTCTCACAGAGGAGCCAGGAGGTTTTGACAAGTAGCTTACAGGGTCAGAAAGTCAGGCAACCCCAAAAGATGCTATGTTAAGATATTACAGCTATATGAAATTTCACATTTGGCACTACAGAAGTCATAAGTAAGTACTACTACTAAATTATATCAGACAACTGTTACATGCTATTTCCCCAATTATGTTTAATAATATTTAGAACACACTAAAGGACAGTACAAATTCTGAATTCTTGGACTTCATCACCCTGAAGAAAAGATGTGCCGAAAGCAGTTTTGTTTTAGAGTCAGAACATATGGAATTAAATTACCATCTGCTTTTAGATGTGAGTCCCTCAAAACACAGTGAGCAAAAATGTATTATACCTGTCGGTAAAATCAAAGCAACTATTTTGCTTTCTCCCCATCTTTACTAAAAACACTAAAGGGGAAAAATGTCCTACTGAGAACAGGAAATCATTTATTTTTTAGGATCTCTCAGGATGTCTCAGAACATAACAAATTCTTCACAACTCTACAGAAAATTCATGGTATGGAATGTAAAATAGGTTTTTCTTTCACAGGAAGTAGTTGAGAAAACAGCACTTCATTTCTGATTGATGTATGAAGTTGCACTTGTGGAAGGGGAGCAAAATCCCCTCCTGCAGACTACAGTTGTTTTAATAATGTAAAAGAGCATTGTATTAATTGCTTCTTCATTATTTCCTCAGTAGGAATAGCTGTAATAGTAAAAGGTATCCTACTCAAGAGAAAACGGAAGCATTTACAACAGAGTTTGCATTCACTGAACTGATCTGGTCAGTAGGAAAAAAGTCATACCCTTTGACCAAAAAATTTAGAAGCTGACTCCTTTGATAGCACCATTTTGTTAATCCTGCAGGATGAGTCTTCAGAGGCAGAGCATACCTAAATTACTAATATAAATAATGTACAGATTATAGCAGAGGACAAATTTCCCCTCAACTTCATAATCTTTCAGTCTCCTTTAGTAATGATTTGGATGTTCTCATCATATAGTTTTACACAGGGTCAAAAGGGAGAGCAATTTTAGGCTCCGTATGAAATTAACATCGCCCTTTTTGTTTCTGAAAACTTTCTTAGTAAGTTAAGCATAAACCAAAACCAGTAATTCAAACAAGCTTAGCAGCATGAATTGGTTTAAAATTTAAACCTTCAGGCAAAGCCGGGCACATCAGGATGGGTGATTCCTATCACCTCCCACTTAGAAAGACTATTTTACTGAAACATTTCAATTCCCAAGTAAACAAAATTAGTATCTGAACACCTTCACTTAACAGAAGTGTTATATCACCAGCTTGAAGGAAAAATAACAGTGATGTCATCATACAAAAGAGCAACTACACTACTGAATATGTAGCAATTCACTCAGGAGAAGAAATACTGAGGTGAAAACAGCCAACAAGATGGCAGTTCAATAACTAGCAAAAAAAGATTCAATGAAAAAATTCTTTTGCAATTTGGACTTTCACCATAGAACTGTACTTACATTATCCATGAAATTTGGCTTAAATCCTCCCTCCTGCTGTCGTCGTAACTCTTCCTGTTCCCTCTGGCGTAGCATCTCTTCTTCACGACGTCTGTGTTCTTCTTCATGTCTAGGGTATCATTCAAAATTATGTCAGCTTAGTCTCTTGACCTGTTCAGGCTTGCACTCAGTCTCAGAGGTAACATCAAGCATATAAACAGAACTGGTCATTAATTATTTTTTACATACTGTAAGGCACTAATCTACTCAACTTGATGAGTTTGAGTACTTTTGAAGTTTTCGTCTGGCTTTTTTACTGGAATACAAGTAATTTCAATACCAATACATTCTATACCTACTCTTCCAGCTATATATCAGTACACAGCTTAAAATATTTCAGTTTTTAAAAAGCCACAATGGATTAAAACTTTGACAGTGCCAAAATACACATTTTTAATTCTGAGATGCATTTGTGCTGATTTTTTATCTGATATTTATTGTGATATTTAACACAAAAAGTATAAATCAACATGATGAGACTATGTCTGTTTTCTTAAACTTTAGAAAAGGCATTAAAACAGTTTTTTGCATGAATCAAGTTCTAAATGAAAAATTGTTTTCAACATATCAGAACATCATGTGAAAATAACTTCCAAAATCCCATGTCAGACTATAAGACTGCAATGCTATGATTCTCCATGCAGATCACCTACCCATAAAATTTAGAAGCCTGTTCCTATTACAGCAATGCTTCAGTCACGTTAAAATAAATATGAAACAAAAAAATAGTCCAAGACATTTCTATGCTATTTAGAAATCTCAGAAATTTATAACAAATCTAGCAGAGCTAAAATAAGTGAAAAAAATCAAGCAACACTTGAAACCAATCTTTTATATCAGCATTACATTATCAGAAACATCAGACATCATGCTTTCGAGAAGCAAGTTTAGCTAACATATCCAAATTCATGCAGGCCTACAGTGGCTGCATGCCACACCTCTGCACAGTAGAAGACAAAATACCTCAATTGTATCTGCTTGCGTTTTTGAAGTTCTTGATTTCGAAGTTCTTCCAAGCGCCTCAATTCTTCTTGACGACGCATGAGATCTAACAGGATTAAAAGTGTATTTAAATATAAAAGCTGTCAATCAATAATGTGGCAACACAAAAATCACAAAAATTGTTATTACTGTCAGATTACAGTTCTAACATTCAATTTTTTAAACAAAATTTTCAAAGCATTTAACTCATCTCTTTCCATAAAGCTAAGTCTAGTACTTGAAAACACCCTGGATCTGTGGCTTACAAACACAGGGAGGTAGAAAATGGGCAAAGCCCCCAGAGCAGGTTGCAGAAACAGAAGTTTTAAGTTCACAAAGAAAAGGGAAAAAAAAACCTCTCTCAATCCCTTAAATCACATCCTGGTTTTACATCTAGGATACTGCATCAGTTTTCTCACAATGCTGTACATATACTGATAAAGTAAAAATACTAAGGAAACTACTGCAAGATTCATGGACTTTTACACTCTCCACTACCTACTGCATGGCACACATTAGAAAAAGAAAAGTCATATGAACTTCATGTGCATGAAGTCTGAGCCTCCATGAAGACCTATCACGACTCCGCTTACTGCAACTTAAAAATGACTAGTGTTTTGACCCCACAAAAAAGGCACAGCCATAGCCACTTAAGAAGCACTTAAAATGCCCTTAAAAAGGGCGTAACTCACAGTAATTACTTTTGCTGACCAGTCACATTATTGATTTCTGCCTGGAAATTTATACTTTCTTCAATAAATAATAATTTTACCATTTCTTTGGTAAAAAAGGCTTTTTTTAATTTTTTAACTATATAGGAAGGACATTGGCCACATGATACTATTTATAGAAACCACAAGTAACATCTTACCATGCCACCTATTACATGTCTTTTACGCTTTAGTTCAACTGTTCTGCACATTTTCACTACACATTTCTTCACTACACTAATTAAAATATCTTTTTAGCCACGCAAATCGGTTTCCTCAAATTTGCATCAGCATATATTATTGCAACTTCAAATTTTACTTTATTATCTAAAACCTACAGCAGCCAGTATATTCTGCCAAAATATAATGTATTTGTTTTCTTTTTGAACAAAGATGATTATCAGATATTTATTCTCACAACATCTCTGTTGACATTAGAAGTCCTTTTTCAAGCATATTTTACAGGATTGCTTTTCTATTCTTTCCTGCAAAATTAACAAATTTCACACTTATAGAGACTAGGACTACATTGAAGATTCACTCAAATCACAAAGTCTGAGAGCTGCTTCTTTCCAGCTGTGCTTGCCATAGAAGGCCAGGCCACTGGTATTCTGATCATTGGGCAGTGTCACAAGCACACTTTTTTTTTGCTTTTAAATAACCTTTAGGTTATTTCAGAGTACAAGTGTACTTTTCTTTTCAAATTAACCTTTAGCATACTTGTAGTATTACTGAAATCAAGAACTAACCCATTCTGTAACATTGTCCACTGTGGGAAAAGATGTTTCTTTCTCAGTTCTTTGTTCTTTCAAATTTATACAGCATTCCCTATTTCTTGTGCCTGTGTGCACAGGCAGAGGATTTCCTACTTTCTCTCTACCAATATAATTTACTGTCCCCTTTGTTCTTAAGATGTAGCACTCTACTTTTCTCAGTGTTCTCCTAATTTTTCTCTATAGCATAGCTTATTGCCTTTCCAGAAATTGTTAGTATGTTAAAGATTCCACACAGAAAATTAAGATTCAGTATCATTTGACAACTGCCAAATCTTGGCAGAAAGCCTTACTAGGCCCGGTGAAAACAGTTATAGAGGTTCAAACTCCGCACAAGAGCCATTCATATTAGAAGATCTAATGATGGTAATTCTTGACTGACAGGCCCTTTCTCTGAACAGAAAAAATCTGCACTAAAGCAGCTGTGGGAAAAAAAGAAAATAAATAGAGAGCATTATTATTAGCCTCTGCACTTTCTTGTGCTTATAAAAGGGCAAGGTCTTCATTTTACCTTCAACCTTCTACATAGCAGAGAGCAGAATGTGAAGATGTTCTCTCACCTCAGAAGTAAATCCTACAAACTGGAATATCAGCTTCACAAAGACTTTTAAGCAGTTTAAGCTGCTGATTTTTCAGGTTCTCAAGATGGAAAATAAATGCCAAGTTTCCATATAACTGATTAAAAAATTAAGCTTCTGATAAATTCAGTCATGTTTTCCAGTGTTTTCTTAATCTATTTAACCATTGTTAAATATTTACAAATGTTTGATGTATACCACCAGTACATAGATGAGAAATACCATGCAATTTACTTACACACGCAAACATGTATTCTGCTTTACAAATTACTTCTGACTCAGTCTGTCAAAATATGACACTTAAAAGTGAAAAATTACACATATCAAAAGAATTAAATCTACCTTCAGAATTAATATCACAGTACAAAAACCTGAGTACTCAAACCAACATGTTCTAGAGCTACAGTCCTATTAGCTCTCATGAAGCAGTTTCAACACAACCTTCACCTGCTAGAGTACATGGACCAGTAAGCTCATCTTTCCTGTCTTCTTCTTAACTCCACAACTAAAACATGACATTTTATATTTTATTTCATGTTTCATAATGACTGCTTCAATACATCTTTAATTTTGACTTTGTGCACCAGGGATACAAAAGTATTAATTCTAGGTTCTGGTGCCTTAGAAACTTCACTGCATCTTTCTACAGCATCATGTGATGCATCTCATTAATATAATCAATATTCTTGGAATGGCATGAACTTAAACCCACACTGTTCAGAGCAACAAGAGGAAGCTAATCTTTGAAAATAAATGCAGGTGAAAAAACCACCTTATTTTCATGCATAGTGAAGCCAAAGAATTAAGAAGATTAAAACAGAGGAATACTTATTAATCCCTAGATCCCTGAAAATTAAATGTCAGCAGGCAACTAAGAAGAAACCTAACTATTGTAACAAAATTCTAAGTTTATCTGGTACCAAAGAGGTACTCTGCGAACCAAACAGTGAGGAGGAAAAAACCCTCCCCCTACACTAAAAAAACCCATATTTTCTCACTGGAATTCACATACATTCATGTTTTAGTGGCTCTTTAATGGAAGGAATAATGCTCTCATTTTTCATATAAAACTGGCATTTAACAAATATTGAAAAAGCAGAATATATTTTCCTTCATGTTGTCCTTAAAAGAAACCCTAATATCCAAAAACACATGAAAGATGTTTTCCCATGTTTCACCATCAATTCTTTTTCTATCTTAATGAAGAGGCCACCGTAATCTTGTCTCAGTTTAACATGTAATTAAGACATGAATTTAGGACAAAGTAATCTCTACTCTTGCCCTCAAGTACAGGCAACAGGTGAATAAATTCAAAGGAAACTAAAGAGCATAAATTCTGGAACTGGATTATAACACTGTTAAGTATTTTGGTAGTCAACAACAGTCAATATAGGTAAGTCAACAGTAGATTTATCCAACCTGTATCTTAGCCACTGAACTATCTTTACAAATGTCAGCCACACACACAAAATTACAATGTGTGTCTAGCTGCCAGGGGAAAGCTGTACTGTATTGTCAGCAACATTCTTGGATCATATTAACATGCACATTCCTCACTTCTAATATACACCTGTGCTTACAAGGAAATTAAATGCTTTTAACAGTTTTTCTTGGAAAATAAACCAAGAAACAGTTGTCATTTCAGGTGCTGCAGCAACTATCTGGCATTTCAAAACAGTTTTCTGTTTTGAACATATATGTTATATATATAACATATATATATATATTACACCCTCTATAAAACCTTATGCTCTTTATGTTATTATGTATTATGTTTTTATGTTATTATCTTCTGCACAAGATGTCATGCTCTGCACAGAACCTCAGAAAAACAGCATGGCTCCACACTGCGAGCACATGTTCCTATTCAGGAAAAATAGGCTAAGTAAACTTTTTCCTCAAGATAAATTTAGAAAGTGAAGAAAACAAGACTTAAGACAATCACCTCTTTATCAGGTGCTTAATTTCTGCAAATCATCAAGGAATATGTGCATAGAGAAATATTCCTTTTTCTCAGTTAAATGCATTCAATTAAATGGTGACCAGCAAAATGTCCAAGTATACAGCTCAATATGCTACACACAATAAAAATATCTGTGACAAAACAAATTTAATACTAGTAGATTATCTGATTTTACCTTGCCTCATTAGCATTAGCTGATGCTCATGTCTAGCTGCTTCCATTTCTGCCTCAAGTTTCTCTTTGGCTTCTCTAATATTCCTGTCAACCTGTTCACGCTGCTGCTTTTCCATCTCATCAAGAGCCTTCCACCGCGAAGCATACTCAAACTCAAATGTTCCAGGCTGAGCAAAGCGTGGAGGCTGTTCTCTTTCCCTAATAAAAATTTTGCAGTAAAAATGTACAGAAGGACACATTTAGATCAACAGCTATAACAGCTAGAGAATGTATAAATAATCACTTCAAGTGCAGTTCTCACTTTTCATTAACCTGTCAGATGACTACATTCTGAACCAGACACAGCTTAGATCAGACATTAAGACAAGTAAAAAGACAATTTTCCAAAAATTGCCCAAATAAAATTTCAATTTATTTAATTATAAGATAAAAATTTGTATTGACATCAGTACAAAAGACTAAGCTGCAACACTAGATTAACAGTGTTCAGCCTTCTATATCAAGCAGTCAATTCACTAAACCAGTTATTTAAATAAACATAAATGCTTACTAGACAGCCCAGAATATTAGCCAGATTCTGTAACCATTAAAATGAGCCTGCATTTCCCATTCTAACACTAATACTGTACCTACCAGTGACAAATTTTTAAGAAGTGGTGTTCTACAGTCTTACCAACATAAACATTTTAGATTCAAACAACATGAATGGCAAATTACAATACTAAAAACTAGTATTTTCAGATTAGGGGTCTTTTATCTCATGGTTGAGATTCACTTTCTCATGTCATGCTCCAAGTTTTACTTGAACTGTGGAAGCTGCAAAGATTTACAAGCCAGGGAGGCTGCAAATAGTTCAGAGGCTATTCAGAGAACATAAAGGTCTGTGAGTATTCTAAATCTCTGCAGGATTAGACCACACCTCTAATTCATAAAAGGCTGTAGTTTGCTAGCAACAAGCTTCCACTGAATGCAGTGTAGGCGAAGAACCTCTCTACTACAATAAATGCACAGAATGTTAAACCAACGAGCCATGTCTAAATTTTATTATGATTAGGAAATTTCAGAAAGCCCTGTTTAATCCTTTGAAACAAAACAGCAAAACATACAGAAGCACTACATCCTGCTACACAAACTCAAAAGTTTAATTAATTTAATTAATTAGTGTATATTTACAAAGGCAACTAAGTGCATAAATCACGTTTTTTAAAAAAGGCTAACCACAACTTACTTGTGGTACTGTTGTGTTTTTTGCATTAGCTTCTCAGGGAGTCCATCCTCATCATCAAATTGCTCCATTGGTTCTACAACAACAGGTCGAGGTGTTCTGGGAAACATTTTTAATTTAATAACTGAATCATTAATGAAGCAATTACAACTCATTTTAGCATTTTGAAGAAACAATCCAGAAAGCTAATATGTAATTCCTGTGTCTTGTCTTAAATCACAGAATTCCAATGAATCCCAATCTTAATAATTACCTTCAGAAAATAATTGTTTCTATGCCCAAATCCAGCTATTCAGCCTAGAAATAACAATTTACTTGACCCAGTTCTGTGTCTTTACTTTTTTTTTAAAAAAATACCAAAACCATCTACCAATAACTACAAAATATTTAGGAAGGAACTATCTTTCTGTTTTTATCAGTGAGGCACCAGAGGCCATGACTTTCTGGGAAAGCACCAAACCCAAAACAGAGCAGCACAACCTATTCATATTTTTACTGACTTCTGCAACTAGTTTTGCTTTAGTTACTCTACAACTGAAAACAGCTTGATAATTTGGTATTAATATTACAGTAATAATAAGAAAAACATTTCTGTTTAAGTTATTTCAAATCCATTATTGGAATAACCATACACTCCACAAATTAGAATCCTAAATTATCTCTGAAAAACAGCTTTCTTGATACATAGTAACCACAGGCAAGCATGAGCCAGTACTGCCAAAGAGAGCAACGTAAGAACTCCGAGTAGTGTAAAAAGCTCTTTGCATCAGTCTTGGGAGCAGAGATTACAAAACACAGAGCGCTACAGACACAATTTTCAAAACACCAGCACTCATTTGTTGTGCTCCATGCCTTCATTTCTCTTTGCAGATCTTTCCCTACTGTCCATGCCCCTCATGAGAAAAAACAAAACAAAACAGAAAAACCAAAACCAAACCAATGACTCCCTCCAATATATTTTACTCTGGGCTTCAAGTTCCTATTAAAAAGATGAAGTCCAGAATCACAGGGCACCACTCAGCAACTGTTTTTTCTGATGCTATGTGCATGGCAATTGCTGACAGTTCTGCTATTTAAATGTAACTGAACTGTGGTGTTAACAAGTTATGATGTAAAACAACAATGTTAAAACACTAATGTTTTGAATGTCTACTTTTGATACATTTAAACAGGAACTGAAAGGTGTTCTGATCAGACAAAGAGTTTTCAGATAAAAAAGGTAAAACTTTAGACTCTGAAGCAAAACATAAAGGTAGATGGTAGCAGATTCATGTTAATTATCTTTGCAACTGTGCATCAGGGAACAAGTCACCTAAGCAAGAAAACAATCAAGTGCTTTTTATTCACTCAGGCCATGGTTAGATGCTCATTTCAATTCAACTGATCTATCCAGGCAGTAAAACAGGAATACCTTCTCCTCATATCTCAGCTTCTTTTTCCCTGCCACGTATCTCATGCCAAGAATAGCACTCATGTAACACTGAACTACATTGCTTCCCTTGTTTGGGTCACCACACTTGCATTAAATTACTAATGCCAAGAAAACCCGGAGTATAAGAATAAATAGCGGGCAGCTCCTCGTAACAGTAGAGATGTGTTCAAATTAAATTCCCTATGTAATTATGAAACCATCTAATCAGTTCACCAGCACACAAGATTTGGAGTTCCAGACCCCTTATTCACCTGCCAACATTTTCTCCTGCCTTATTCTCTGCTGGACTTGACATTAGCAAGCATCTTCCTGTGCTTGAACAGACTGCAATGGACCCCCCATACAAATAAATACCTTTCAGTTGTTTTAGCAAGCACAAGTGGCTTATGGAAGTATCATTAAGTTCTCCAGCACATAAAAGAACAGCACAGCCAGGGCAGGAAAAGAACTCCAAGCCCAATTCAATGGCTTCAAGTTTTTCATGCTGTGAAACCACAGCCTTATTTTCCCAGTGAGAATCAGAAAAATAAAAAATAATCATAAATATGTATCATTTCATGCAATTTTTAAGAAAGCATTTGAAAATGTCACTTGTGACTGTGTAAAGTACAGCAGTTAACAACTCTCTTTGGCAAGTACAGAAATAGAAGATGCAAGAGAAGTGCTGCTATTTGCAAGCTTGCTTGTCCTTGAAATAGACTGTTTTCCAAACATCACTAGTACAAACCTCTTCGGAATCTCAGTCTTCATTTCTAAACAGTGAGAAAATCCTGGCCTTCTAAGCCACAGATACTTTTTGAGATAAAAACACTTTCTTTAGTCTACAGAAATACCAGCAATGTCATGCACTGTTTTGTTAAGAAACGAAGGAATATTATTCTGTTACTTTGTTACTGAGATAAGGAAGAGTGCAACCAATGAAAATAAAGTCTCAACTGAAAATGCCTTATTATAAAGCAAAGGAAAAGTAATATTGCATATGAACAAGAAAAAAAAACAGAATTTTGCTCTCAGACTCTCACATGGTAATAAGAAATCTTATAAACAGTAAGCAAAGAAAGATGGTTTTCTTTAAAAAAAAATAGAGTATTTGTGGTATTCATGCAGAACACTTTAATTTCTAATGTCATGGCTTTCAGATTTTGAAAACAAAGTAAGAACTAGAGAACCATGAATGCAATTTTTGCTCACATCAGGAAGATATACTCACAAATTCAAACAAAAACCTGTGAACTTACGTTGTAAGCAAGAATGCCCCATCACTGCACCTTTCTAGAGCTTTCCGTGCTGGAGGTTTTGCTGCAAACTCTACAAAACCCTTCCCTGTAGCTCTGCCACGATCATCCACTACAACAACCGCTCTTTCCACTGGCCCGAATTGTGAGAATGCTTGTTCCAGGAGCTCATTGGAAACCACAGGTGACAAATTCTTCACAGTTAAGGCAGCTCCATGGGTAGCAAATCGAATTCGAAGTGGTCTGCTCTTCAAAATAGTACCATCAAGTTCTGCCTTTGCTATTTCAGCCAGGGTCCTAGATTCCTTTATAAAGATATAAAATAATTTATATATTTTATTTTCAAAGACAACAAATATCACTTTTGTGTGCCCCCCCCCAAAAGTAGCAAAGTTGTTTTCCTTCACTTGAGCTACTGGCACCAGGATCATTCAATGTTTTTTCCCCCAGACAAAAAAAAACAAACCAAACCAACAACAAAAAACCCAACAAAGTCCCTGTCCTCTGATTGAAAACATGCATTACCCCTTATGGTTTATTCTAAAAAACAACATAGGCACAAATTTTTTGTTGCAAATTAGAGGACTTAATGGTGCAACTACAAAGGTTTTGAGTAGAGTTGAAAACCTGATACTTTTCACGTTTACCTACTCAAATGCTTATAATTCTGCATCCCTAGCCCCCCGCAGCAGGAAATGGTATTCAAATATTACACTACATGATCTAAGGTGTTTTGCTTTTAAGTAAGTGAAAATATCACACTTGGTCTCAATGGATGTCCAATTCAAATTTCATCAACAAATGATGAAATTACCTTCTTTGCTCATATATTCATTCATCTCACATTAATGGGCTTTCTCTACCCACATCCATGAGACAGTGTAAGTCAACAACTACCTTTTTTCTCACTTCAAAAATCTTCACCAGGTTTGATAGCTGCAATCCCTGACATTTAAAGAAATTCTTTATCTTTCTTCACAGTTCAACTGGCTAGGCAAGCTGCTAAAATATATATATATACACATATATACATACATATATATATATACATATACATATGTATGTATGTGTGTGTGTATGCATGTATGTATACGCCCTAAACATAATGGAAAAGGGAAGTTCACATAAAAACTCAATCTAATCTCTATTACACACAAAAATGAGTAACGAGATGCAAATATATCTCACTTCCTCCATAAAATTGCTATTTCAGGCTGGGGAACTCTCAGGGTAAAAGATGTATGGCAGAATGCCACAAGTATTTTAAGATGTCAAGCAAAAAGAAAAAAAAAAACAAATAACAAAAAAACAAAAAAAAAAACCCCAAAAACGAATCAGTAAAATATATTGAAAAATCATAACCAGACACGTAAAACACTTTAAAGCTATTCCGAAAATGATACAAATCGGTGCATTTTAAACAGAGCAATAGTGAAAACTAATCTCGCACACTAAATTACCATTTAAATACAGTATCAAAAGCTTTTCGGATTATTCCCTTTTTTGCATGCTTAACTCGAGCATGCTTAATCAAATATTGTATTACCCCTAAAAATCTAGTCTTATCTGGGCACAAGTAATTTAAACAACCCACGGTGTGCAACCTTTTCAACTCCGTGATTTTATGTTCTGTGTTCACGATGGACGAGCAGCTGTATTTCGAAACAATCCTGTCCATTCTTTAAAATTAACTGTATTAGGTGCCGTGGGGTAAGGCAGGGGCCGAAACGCCAGGGGCTAGTAGGACTACTCTGATGCAGGGGGTCTGGCTTGGATGTGGAGAAGCGAACAGGGGAGAGGGAAGAAAGGAGAGGCGGAGGGACCAGCGCTAGCAGCGAGGAGGAGGAGAATGAGAGGCAGATGCTGCCTTTTTTCACCCCCGCGGAAAAGGAGGGGAAGGGGGCGGGGGGCAGGGGACCGAAGCCTCCTGCTTACAGAGACAGCCCCAGGGGCCCGCCCGGATCCTCACCAGGCGGATGAAGCCGAAGCCACGGTCCCGATTGATGAAGACCTCGCTGGGCTCCCCGTAGCGCTCGAAAAGGCGCTTGAAATCCTCCTCAGTGATATCAGTAGGCAGATTCCCCACGAACAGCCGGCAACGCTGCGTGTAACTCTTCTCGCCAGGTTTAAGAAAGCTCTTGATATCGATGGTGAACCCAACCTCCTGCTCGTCATCTCCGCCACCTTCTTTGCTCGGCACCAGAGCCATGGCCGCCGCCGCCGCCTCACTCTCCGCTTCTAGGCCGCGCAATCCTTTCAGGTTGCCGCCGCCGCCACCCCCCACCATGCCCAGCGGCGCCGCTGGGGAGCTGTTTTCGATCCGCACTTGCTTCAAGTTCCTATTCGCGGCCATATCCGCTCCTTCCTCGCGGGTTCTCCCTCCGGGGACGCGGAACCCTGTTCGGCAGCCGCCGCCTCCGACCCTCAGCCAGTTCAAAATGGCGCCGCCGCCAACCCCGGCGAGTCGTGCCGTCCCCGCGGGAAGCCCCGCCCCGGCCCCTCTCCCCCTCACCGCCGCGCACGCCGCCGCCGCGCCCGCTCGGCCCCGCCGCACGGCCGAACCTGCCCCGCGCCCACGGAGAGCCCTCCTTCCCTCCCTAGGGACAGATGCTTGCCCGCCGCCGTGTTGTGTTAGAGCGGTGGTCTCCTCAGGCCGCCCCCAGGTAGAGGAGCCCCTCGCTGGGGTCTCTCCCGAGGGAAAGGCAGCCGGGGGATTCCCTGGGAGTGTCTGGTCGCTGCGGGAGAGGGACGCAGGCGTGACACAGGAGACGCTGGGGCGGCGGCGGCGGGGACAGCCGAGGGAGTCACAGAACCACAGAATCAATCAGGTTGGAAAACACCTCTTGAGGTCATCGAGTCCAACCTGGGGCCCAGCACTGCCATGTCAACCAGACCACGGCACTGAGTGCCACGTCCAGTTTTTCCTTAAGTACCTCCAGGGAAAGTAATTTCACCACCATGCTGGGTAGCCCAGTGTCTAATTACTCCTTCTGTGAGGAGATTTTTTCCTGTTATCCAACCTAAACCTCTACTGGTGCAACTTGAGGCTGTCTCCTCTCATCCTGTCACTTGTTACCTGAGAGAACAGACCAGCCCCCACCTGGCTGCACCCTCCTTTCAGGCAGTTCCAGAGTGATGAGGTTCCCCCTGAGGCTCCTTTTCTCCAGGCTAAACACCCCCAGCTCCCTCAGCTGCTCCTCACAGCACTTGTGCCCCAGAGCCTTCCCCAGCTCCGCTGCCCTTCTCTGGACACGCTCCAGCCCCTCAATGTCTTTCTTGCACTGAGGGGCCCAGAACTGAGCACAGCATTTGCGGTGTGGCCTCAGCAGTGCCGAGTCCAGGGGGACGGTCACTGCCCTGCTCCTGCTGGCCACACCACTGCTGATCCAGGCCAGGAAGGACTGTCCGGGCACTGCTGTGCAGTGTGGGAGGACCTGAGGACACACAGGGCACAGAAAGCGAGGCAGGAGTGGGAGACAAATCTGAGTGAAGAGAGGCCCTGTTACACAGCTTCCAGGGCAACTTTTAACAGAGCAATAGCTTACATTATAAAGGGAGAAGCTTGCTTCTGAGAGGTGCAAAATCAAATGTTTCCTTCCTCGGGCACACCCTCTTACAGCAAAGACTATGGATTGCCCTCATCTGCAGCACCAGACTGTGATTTGCTCTCCTGCCAGATTCACAGCTGCTTGGTTTGGCTTGTGTGCTTCAAGCAATAGTACAACCAGTGCATGGTTTCTCTGAATTATTTGTTTCATTAATACAACTCTAGCACATAAAGTCCAGACCATCTTTTGAGGGTAGTAGTTACTTCAGCTAGTGTGTGGCATATACTGTTCTTTGGAAAAAGCAATATCAAGCATGACATTCAAGAACAAATTAATTCTACTACAGGTGTGTTGTTTGAGGGTTACTTTGTCTATTGCAGAATATTCTAAGTTCCCCTGTCTTATACCACTCGAGGTACAACAAAGATCTGTCCCTTTCTTCCTAGCTCAGAATCTGTTCAAGGACCTGGAGAAGACACAAGTTCCCAGTTTTATCAGTCCACCTCTTTCTGAAGCAGACTTGTAGGTGTAGGACACCAAGCTTTTTTAACCAAGCAGATTTTAACCTCTAAATTCAGAAAATACAGATGATAGGGGAAGGATATCTACTCATAGAAAAGGCATGAATTCAGGTAGTGTAGGAACATGATGAAGGTGTTAGAGTAGCAGTATAGGATCCCTAAAGCATCTTGACTGTCCAAAGAACAATGCTTTGAAGTATATTTAGGATTCAATAGCAAGTGGTAAGACACAAGTGTTTAAAAAAGGAACCAACTTACATCAAACCAATAACTTTCTAAAATGGGTAAGCATGAAAAAGAGTGAAATATATGCTAGAAATGATGTGACTATACACTGTAGATGTGTACTCATCAGTAGAGGGGAAAAAGGAAATACAAGGTAGTCTGGCTGTTAAGTTTTTACCAATGTGGGATAATAAAATTGTCATGGTTTTCAAACAGAGATTTCCAAAACAGGTTAGTAGTAAAAGCTGCAACCATTTAAATTGCAACCACAACTTCCTGTGTACTATAAAAATGTCAGTAGGAAGAGGAAAGAGTGTTTACAAATTCCATAGTATTCTTACTTTTCCTTAATATAGCAATACCTCAATTTTAAAAATTATAGTTTAGTAAAATAGAGCAACAAAATCCCACCTTCCAGAAACAAGGAAATATATCTGAAAAAATATATATACTTAATGTGCTCATGGATCCATACATTGTCATACATAATTAGATTCAGAGTACAACCATAATGCATGCACTTGTTTTAGCTTTTTTGCGAAGGAGGTACTTGCACATGCCCCATGGTCAAACATTTAAAGGTAACACACAAAAAGAACCTGATATCTGCTGCTTTCAGTCACTTCTCACCTTTATTTACACATCGCAATAATTTACTCATTCATCAGAAGAGCCCCAGACAGTTTATCTCCCTAAGTGCCCAAAGTCTTGATGGCTTGGTGACTTCTACACCTTGCCACTGACACCAGTTAACCAATAAATATTTTGAGAGAGAAAAAGGTCCTTAAAATTCTTATCCCAATGTTTTCCTTCAGCTATAAACATCCAATGAAATCTTTATGGCTTACTAAATCAAGTTCAGATCATTGAAAGGGATAAGGGATATCCTAGGCTGTTCCAGCCACTCTCCATTAGTTTGGTATTATTATCTTTAATATTTTCAATGTAGTTGAACTACATTAAAGTGATTTCAGGAGAATGGGGGAGAAACAGTTATAATCACATCATAATTGACATTCATTCTGTCATTCTTCAGGGGTTTTATGGAAGCCTGAATTTATTCAACTTGGCATTCAAAAGGCCACAACAGGCAGCACTGATTTTGAATTAAAACAGTCATGAGTTCTTCATTTCATGAAAAGGAATTAAATCTCAAGATTTCAATGAAAATAATTTTGTTAAGTTTCAGCCCATTTCATTGCACTTCCTTTCTTTCCATTCCATTATTTTCACTTTTTTCCCCATTAATTTTTTTCACTTAATTTCAGAATTTTATTTTTTTTTCAATTTCATTTCATGTCATTATATTTCCTTTCCTGACATTTCATTTCACTTCATTCCTTGATTTCTCCTTTAATTTCTTTTCCTGAAATGAAAATCCTTAATTTCATGAAAGGAAATGAAATCACAAGGTTTCAAGCAATACAATTTAATGAAGTTTTGACTCATTTCACTGCACTTCATCTCATTGTATACCATTTATTTGTTTCCACTTCATTTCAGAATTTTATTTTTTTTTCACACAAATCTTTTAACAAGCTTGGGGCTGCAGCTGAGATGCCCATCCCCATGCATGGCCCTAAGCTGAAAGGTGTTGAGGCAGAAATGTTATGGCTCTGCCATGATCCTCTTGGCACGTGTTTTCCAGCTCCAGTGTTCCTGGAGCTAGAGGCTCTTTTCCTCTCTCAACCCGTCTAAGCCTGATAGCACCTGGTCTCTGGAGCTGAGATGCTCATCACTATAGGTGGTCCAGATTAGAAAGATGTAGGAGCAGCAATGGTGGGGCTGTGCTGGAACAGACTTGTCAGGACTTCTCCAGCCCCAGTGTTCCTGAAGCTGTAGGCTCCTTTACTCGCTCAACCCTAACCTTAACCGCAACCCTAACCCTGACGGCAGCTTGGCACTGTGGCAGATGTCGTCATCTCCATAGGTAGCACAGCCTAAAAAGTGCTGAGTCAGCAATGTTGCCAACCTACCCTGATGCCCTTGCACTGCCTTTTTGAGTGTCAGTGTCCCAGGAGCTGTAGGCTCTGCAGCTCTGAACCCTAACCTGAAACTAGCTTGTCTGCTGCCAAGGTCCATAGGCCATGGCTGGCCAGGATTCAAAAAGTGAGAAATCTTGGTACCCTTC